AGAGAGAGAGAGAGAGAGAGAGAGAGAGAGAGAGAGAGAGAGAGAGCTATGGTGGGCAGGCCGTATGTGAGGAGGGCAGAGGTGGAGGTGAGGAGGCCAGAGGCTGATGTGAGGTGGGCGGAGGTGAGCATAGGTGGAGGCGGGAGCGGAGGAGTGGAGGCGGAGGAGAACTGGCGGGAGAATGCCGAGGGAGAAGTAGGAGAGGAATCCGCAAGGGGTGGGGGGAAGCGGAGAGGAGGGGACCAGCAGGCGGAGGCGCAGGCAAGGTGGCCCCCGGGCGGAGAAGAGGTGGGTGGAGGCAGGGAGGTGATGGTAGGCGGTCGCGGAGGGGAGGTGGTCGAAGACGGAGAGAAGATGGCAGGGGGAGGCGGAGGGGAGGTGGGTGGAGGTGGGCGGAGAGGAGATGGTGTGTGGAGGCCGACAGTAGATGGTGGGCGGTCATGGAGGGGAGATGGCTGGAGGAGGCGGAAGGGAGGTGGGCGGAGGAGGAAGGTGGGAGCCGGTGGCAGAGTCGAGGTGGGCAGGCGGGAGGGCCCGTTGGACTTCAGTGCAGGGAAAGCACTGCCCTGCAACGGGCCACAGCGCCGCCCTGCAATGGGCCCTGTTTCCAACAGGCGCACCGATCTGGGCCGCCCGTGGTCCTACCGGCCCGACGGTCCGGATTTCCGAGCGATCTTAAGACTTTAAGATCGCGCGACGATCCAGGCCGTCCGGCAAAACGGACGGTCTGGATCACCACGCGATCTTAAAGTCTTAAAGTCTGAAGATCGCGTGGAAATCCGGACCGTTGGCCGGTAGACTGCAGGCGGCCCGGATCGGTACCGAATAGCGATTTCTATAAGTGTAGGGATGTTGTTCGAGACAGGGAAGGGTATAAAGCACAAGAGAGTTGTGGGATGCAGGTAAAGTTTGGGTGTTAAGTCAGATCCAAGGTCAACATACGACCTTCCATTGTGTCTCAAGGGAAGCAGCATCTTATCTCCTATCCACAGTTCCTGGAATCTTCCCCTTAGCCCATGATGTTGCATATGGTTGGCCAGAGGTTTCGGAAAGAGGGTAGCATGTTGCTTCCTGCAGCCATTAGCATACACAATTCAAGTGTGAGAGAGAAATCTCTGTTGAGCGTCAAGTGGTGGCCAATATGTATCAAGATTACCATGGCTACGATCCGGACGTCCGGACCGCCGTCCAGACGGTCTGGATTCAGTCCGGACTCCAGACGCCCGGTCTGGAAGGTCCGGATCTGCCAAAATTCGAGGGAAAAAAAAGAAAAAAAAAGGGTCCAGGACCCTTCCCCATTGAGGAGCCAAGCCCCCAAAATTGTTTTGGGGGTTTTTCAGGCCCGTTCATGCTTTTTTGGGGGGTCCGGACATGCTCTCTCTATATAATAATTTATTAGACAACCCCAATTTTTTAATTATTAATATTATTTAATAATTCATTAGAATCATTACCTTTTCTTAGTTTTTTAAGTCTTTTTTAAAGCTTTTTTATAGTTTTTGACTTGTAACTCAAGTTTGGTTAGGAATTCTGACATGACTCTGAGGCAAAAGTGGTTTGCATTGTTATTCTGCATAGCATACTTTTTTTTCAGATTTGTTTTATTTTTATTTGTTTTAATGGTCCGGACATTTCTGGACCTGTCCAGGACCGTCCGGATCCCCCCATGTCCGGAGGTCCAGAAATATCCGGAATTCCGGACGTCCGGAAACTACCGGACACGGGTCCGGTTCCATGTCCGGAAATGTCTGGGTCCAGGTGTGGCGTAGCCATGAAGATTACATTTGGATCAGATCAGGGTATCTCCCTTTAAGGCGATTGCAACCATTGATTGCCTGCCTGGTGTCTGTAGAACCACGTTTACAGACTATTTCTGGCCTTTCATCCCTTCGCTTGTCACACTCCAGCATTCACTGTGATTATGCCCATATACACACTTTTCACTCTCTAACTCTGATCTTTTGGATGCTTCTCTTGTGACTGTTCCACATTCACTTTCACTTTCACTTTGTTTTATGCAAAGTTGATGCAATGACCACTGAGAATGCGATTTTCTGAAAGAAATTTCATCTCT